GCGAATAGAGCTAATAATCATTGTATTCTCCACTAAAATCTTACATGTAAGCAAATAATACCGTTCAAGTCATTTGGGTTCATTCTGGTTGCGTTGCAACTTAAACCGACCCCTGTCGAGCGACGACCTGTTATGTTATGTTTCAAATGTTAGGAACATAATTTTTGGTTCTTAAAAAGATTTCCTATCTCAATGTAACAACCACATACCGTGTGTACAGAAAGAATTTGATGTTTGCGTTGGGACATTCGGGCGGTGGCACTGTACATTGGTCCAATAAGGCTGTACTGGTACCTATTATTAAAAGAAAAACAATTTTCTTGATAAGTTTCCGGTACCACATTTTGCGGTATTATTTCAGTGATACTTTTCAAGTAAAAAATAATGAAAATTTGAAATGGTTCCTTATATTTATATACGTTCTAATTATTAAATAATGCAAATTCGATTTTTATGGGGTCTATTCGGTAAATTATTACTTAATTGTCTGTATTCAAAATATGTTAACAGTTGTGTTAACAATGAATTCATTTACATAAATACTAATAAAATAACAAGCGATTATACTTACCTATCATACAGCAATTTATGGATAAGTCTGAAGTAAATAAACAGTTTAAAGAGGTAAAATATATACTTATTAAAAGTTATCTCACTAGTAAACACCAGCATAATGAAGGTGAATAGTATGTCAAGCTTGTTAATTAAAATTTAAATTGAATTGTATGCCACTTAGATAAGAAGAGTCCAAGATTCAAAGTGTCTAGCTTAATGTGATCTTATTGTGTATATATGTGACTGTATTTAAGTTCCTAAAATTTTTCAATTTTAAATATAAATTTTTTGTAACTAATTATTAAATGCAAGATTTATAAAATATTTGTTTTTGTAAATACGTACATCTTTTATGTGCGACTTCTACTTAGCTACCTACAAAAGCAATAATTTTTTTTGGAACTTGCGCGATTAATATTTCATTACTATGACGACGTAATTCATGTAAGTTCAAAATCTTTCCTTCCACTTTTTCTTCGCTTACCTCTGTCTATCTTTTTCTTTAAACCTTTCATATATAACTGGATCGCTTTTATCTTTGCTTTTCTGGCACGTTCCTTCTTCTTGATTTCCAATTTCGCGATTTATCGATTCCGATATAACGAAGATATGCACGGTATATTTAGCGATACTATTCTTCAGTAAAACTTCTGAAAAAAAGAAAAGTTTTAGTGGTTGCTTATATACTGGCTGAAGAGTAAATAATGCATAGTAAATTTTTGTCGGTCTCTTTTGTGGATTATTATTATATTATCTGCATAGACCTATCAACCATTGTCTGCGTTATTTCGATATATTATGTTTGTGTCGATTTATTTACTTATACATTATTAATGTAAGAACATGCAACTATAAATGCACATCATAACTTGAGCTTTAAGTGCCAACAGATTGTCGATCGATAATCGATCGACATTATTGATCGATATTAACGAACATCGATTGGATGCCTACAGATTTACTAGATGCTGTTGATCGATATCATATGATTTGAGACATAAATGTTGCCGCATATTTACTTGTAAAGTGCAAGTACATGCAGATACATATACATATAGTGTACAGTACAGTACAGTACAGTGTACAGTATAGTGCATTTACTTGCTACTTTTTAATCAAAATATCGATCGATAGTAATGATCAACGAAATCGAGCAAATCTGGCACAAACAAAATCGAGGCACATGGGACTTGTCACCTTATGTCTCAGGGTAACAGGCGCAATAGCAGTGCACCTCAGATCTTTGCGATTTAAAACTTAAGTGGGACTGCAACTGTTATGGGCAGGCGTGTAGCTTACCATCAGGCGCACGACTTGGTCGTCCCGTCATTTGATATTATAAAAAAGTCCCAAGTTTCGCGTTGAAGTCGCCAAGGACTATAATATTCCATGTGCCTCATTTTTCCTCGCAAACCGTATTTAACAGATCGTAAAAACTTTCCACTTCTTGATCTGAGTATGCAGATGTTGGTGCATGTACTTGTATCACCGTGAGTTTAAGAGCTCCAATTGACCTCAGGTCCTTACAGAGCAATGCTTTTGGGACATCCTACGAACTCCACAATGTGATCCTTCCACTTCCCTATATATTTATAATGCAAATGTTAACGCATTAATGGCGTACGCATCGGGGTCCCTGTGCCAGAAAATGTACTTACTGCATTTCTTATTAATTCTACTAGCGAAAATATCTATTTGTGGCATTCCGAATTGTCGAACTATTTTCTCAAAGGCGTCATCACAGATCTTCCATTCTATATCAAGATGCACACGTCTTGATTCTGCATCGGCCAGATCGTTATCAATAGAACTGATGTAGGATGCGAAAACAAATATTTTTCGCGATTCACACCACTGCCGTAACTCTCTGGTTATCTGTGTCAAGGGAGGAACCTGCACGCCTTCCATACGGTTTATATACGAGATCGCAGTGGTATTGTCAATTCTTAGTAAAATTTGACAATCAAAAAGCTTCCTGCAGAAAGATTTGAGGCGACACAAGGCAGCGAGGATTGGCGAGTAATTAATGTGACATATAATTTCATTCTGGCTCCAGAGACCGCTGGCGGTCTGCTCTCCACAAGCGGCCCCCCACCCCGCAGTTGAGGCATCTGTGAAAATTTCCAAGTGATAGGTTTCATCTTTTATCGTATTGACCGAGTGATCGATGGATCTGGCCCACCAATTAAAATCCGGTTTTAGGTATTGTGGAATATAGTTTAATAATATATAATAATAATAATAATATAAGTACGTAATATAATAACATAAGTTTGTTATAATTTTGATCGTCTTTTAAAGTAAAAAATTTGCATCTTTCAAATTGTTTTGTGTAAAGCCAGCCGGCCCACTAATCTTGCAAAGTCTCTAACTTTACATTGTTTTCAGTAATTCCACTTTCTTAATTCATGTTTTATTCCATCAATTTTTTCGGATGTTAGTTATACTTGGAAATTTTCAGAATCAATTGTAAATCATAGGAGCTTACAAGATGTATGAGGTGTGGTACAACTTTTCTGTTCGTTGATTATGAAACCTAAAGACGTCAACAAATTTTTAGTACTTGTGATATTTTCAATACTCTCTGTACGAATAGGCAATTAAAAAATATCATATAAATATATTATAAAAAGGAAACCAGCCAATCTCAGAAGTCTCACCACTGGCTTCATTATTTTTTTAGAAGACAAACGGCGCCGTATTGAGGCTTAAAGGTAAAACATTGAATTCAAATAGGGTGTTGTCCCACATAAAGCGGAGGTACTTTCTCGAATTTTCATGAATTTTCACCGCGAGGTAAGCATCTTTAATGTCTACAGTAGACACGAAACAACCCTTCGATACTAATTTTATGGCCGTTCTGAGATCTTCTAGTTTGAAATGAAAAGTTTTTATAAACTTGTTAAGTTCCTTTAGATTAAGTATAAATCTTGATTTACCATCGGATTTTGATGTTAAAAAAATGTTGGACAAAAACTGACCACAGCAAGGTTCACATTTAGATATGGCTCCAAAGGATAAAAGGCGATTTATGGTTTCCTTGTATTGTAACTTTTTGTAATTGTAACGTTGTTGATATAAAGGAGGGTCAATCTGTAACAAGGGAGACGAATATTTAATTTCGTAGCCGCCTATCCACGAGAAAAAAAAAAAAAAAAAAAAAAAAAAAAGGTTCTGTCTGTGTTTAAATAGTTGGAACTTGTGGAATTCTTTGAAGTCGCCTTTTTCGCTGGGGTAGGCTTAAAGTCCGCACTGGATTTTTGTATTGCTTTAGCGGCTTTTAAAGTTTCCAATAGGTTTTCTCCAAACAGGAAATTAATCCTCATCTAGTTAACGACTCTTTGTACTGGCAATCGCAAACAATACGTGCCGCATCCATCAGTAGCTTTAGCGTGGTCTTGTCTCTAGTTCGCCGCGAGAGGATGGCTTCGCCCAAGGTGGAGATGGCGGAGGAGGTCTGCTTCTGTTTAGATTCCATCGCCTTGACTCGTTTGAGAACCATTTCCCTAACGGCGGGCTTGACTTCGGGATTCAAAGCCGGGGCGTCGATTTCAGTACAGTTTTCAGTTTCCATAATATTTACACTTTACATTCTGTTAGGGCATGTAAAATAGTATTTACAACCAATTTACTAAATTTTTTCCAGTTTCATGCATTCTTACCTATGTACATACATGATGTCTATAAAATATAATGGAACAGAATACTTTTATATGCCAGACTACAGCATTTATACAGATCTTCAGTAAAATTAGTAAAATTAGGTACATTATATTCAACCTGCAGGCAGGTATGCAAATGTTAATGGTATTTCACATTTGTCTCTACAACTACAAATAAATTTGCATTTCGAATTAATCCATTAATCCATTGGTATTTGTAATTTCTAAAAAATATTTATTACATTAAAAGCAAAATGTGAAAAGCCATATTGTCAATAAAACAGTCCGATCATAAAAATTCAAAGTAGAAACTGTCATTATTAGTAATTTATTGTGTTTGTTGGCATCTTTTATCACACTTGGCTTTGTTTGTCATTAAGTTTATGGTTTACGCTTTTCGCTTTTTGTGGTTAAATCGTGAAGATAATATTCTTGATAACACTTACGCCATCCTAACCAAGATATTTCTAATATAACTAAAGGAATGTTTTCACTTTATCAATTTTTAATGCTTACCAAATACGGAGCTAATGTTTACTGAGGCACTGGCGCCGTCTGTCCCTTCTCTTTGTAAGTACACTTTTTGCCAAATAGCACGGCAAAAGCGATCATTTAATTACTATTATACATATTTATTCTATACATAAGATTAAGGAACGTTAGTGGCGTTATACTTAGATTCCAATTCTTTTTTCATATCTGGTATTTAATCATGCGCACGTTTTGGTGGGATTTGATTATGAAGTTTCAATAAAGACACTTATTTACTTTGTTAATTTTAATCCAATCACATTAAATTTAAATAAAAATACATTAATTCAGTTATTTCGTCCTCGAGCATAGGGAGGCTCAGAGTTCGTTGTGAAGAAGTATACACCCGTGGCACTGAAAAAAAAAAACATTTATGAATTAATCGAACACATCATTGTAATATTAATTACGTACAATAAATAAATGTATTGCCAGCACTTTTTTATATTTTTTACACATTATACGTTACAAAGAATGAATTCGGTTTGATATAAAGCAATAATTGTTTAAACAACGGAATTTTGGTTATTATTTTCAGCTTACACTTTTCCCATCGATCATCCATTAATTAATCGGACAAAATTCCTAAATCATACCTTTAGAATGAAAGTGACCCGACACAAAATTCACGATTCACGCGAAATAAGATTTGAAATTGTGACATTTTCATATAATTTATTACTCTTGAAGTACTAAAAGTTTTGTTAGTTTTGGTAAATTATGAAATATTCAGCTTTATAACATCAAAAATTATTTATGATTATTTTTAAATTTACAAATTTTAGTCCCTACAAGGTCATTTATACTGAACTTTTGTGTTGTCAATTGACCTATAAGAATTAAGTATCTTTCATTTACATCAGTTAAGTAAAAATTCATGACCTTATCACCTGGAGGTGGAGGCCTGGTGACCTAAAATACAGGGTATCCTAATTTAGGCTCCAGCCTCTACAAATTTTCCTGTCATGTTTTTTACTTTAATATCTCTTATGTTTACTTAAGTTGTTACGAATTTGTGGAGGAAATAAAGAACTTACTTACTTACTTACTTACTACCAAGATTAATACGTTTTAACTATAAAAGAAAGTAATAACCTCTAAGTAAAAACGTGAGTCGCGTTTGAAAAAAATTAATGATGATTTTTGAGACAAACACGGCTCAGTTTCTAATCCGTCACCTTTTAGCCAACGATGATGGCGTGTTGCCTTCGCAGATTCAGATTTAATACTAAGTGAGTCATTTACATACTGACGTGGGAGTAGAATTTCAAATATATGAAAGGGACCCAAGAGAACAGTGGGTCTATGCCATTCGAGCTTTAATGAATCAGTTCCAGATTAACAACCTTATGAGCTTTTGCTTTTTTACAATAATTACCCTAGGATTTTTTTATTAGACAATAACTTGGAATATACAAGTAAGGTAGAATAAAAACTTAAATACTAGAAAGAAAAACAAGGATTAGATTAAATGAATAAAATTGGGTCCCCGTGGCAAGATGCTGGCAACATTGCCCCTTAGTATGACTATGCTAATGCATTGGGCAAAGTAGCTGACGGCCCTTGGGTTTACTGGACAGTCTATTAATTTATGAACTGATATGTGTAAATTATTATTTTTTTAATTAGGTCACTTCCGTTCTAAAGGTGCAAAATATAAAATTTTCAGGCTACATTTTTACCGCTGATTACATACTGGATGATAAAACGATTACTACTTATTTTAATAGAGATCCGTCTATTATAAAGATCTGTCTATAAACTATATTATCCTTTAAAAAAATTAACAATATATTGTTATTACGTCTCAAAGTTTTCCCAAAAATATCAAATTTGGCGACCGCACAATTGTAATATTACAGCAACGAGGTTATTAGGCTAGCCGGTAGACCTTTCTAAATTGCAGTGTAAGTTTTATTATACATTTCCTACTTACGTTAAGTTGATCTACAAATTTTCCATGCCTTAAAAATAGATTTCAAAAGTAACTCCAATTACTTAAGATGTATTTAAAACATTGGAATCCATTTAAAAATTTGAATACAGAAATGAACATTTCACATAATAAGTGAATACAAGGCATTAGCTTCATGGTGTGCATATGCACGTACGCCATTATGTATTTGGGCCACTTATAACAATTAAACAAATAACAAAATTGAAACAAAAAAATTTGTGTTTCTTTTAGTAATTCAGATTTTTTATCAACCTTAATGGATAAACATAAGAAAGGTGTTTCTAGTCGACTTTCAGTTCGGCCATTTGCGCCATTTAAGAGTGTTGCACACATCTACTTTTAGCAGCGAAAGCAAACGCGATACGAACGCGGTCAAACGCGATACACGTTTTAAATTAAATAACTAATTTATTTATTTAATGTATTTATTAATTTCACTTTTAAATTTGCAATTGACAAAACAAAGTAATATGCATAAACCAATACATTTTTCGTACTTAATTATTCAACATAAGCGACAGTATCGATGCAGTCGCGCGTTTGCATCGATGCCATCGCGCGTTTGCATCGATGCCATCGCGCGTTTGTATCGATGCAATCGCAAGGGTAGCGATGCAATCGCGCGTTTCACGAACGCGTGTTTGCATCGCTGTTAAAAGTCGCCGTGTGTGAACACTCTTAGTTTTTACTAATTTTCGGGACGGGATGAACAAGTCGTGCGCCTGGTGGTAAGCGACACGCCTATCCATTGGTGTTGTAAAACTCGAGTCCGGGAGTCTACATATTAGGACTCGGATCCTATTCACAAGCCTCGACTCATAAGAATAGAGACTCACTAGTTGATGTATTACGAGCCTGCCTGAGTTTCCGAATAGACTCGAGTTTGACATAAGTGTTCGAGTCTATTTATGTGACGAGTCGCACTCGAGTTTGAGTCTGTTTATATAACAAGTCAAGCTCAAGTTTGGCAAGTAAGTACATACTGAGCGGTGGTGTTGTGGTGTGGTATATTAAATTGTAGTATAATTAAGTATTAATATCCTCTTCTTTTTTTTAAATCACTATATTGGGTATTTGTTTTTTATTCAATTTGGGAGCATAGCAGTTGTTCAGTAAAATTGAACCCTGCTTGTCGTACTCATGACTATGTGAAGTAGAAGTCGCTTCGATCCAAGTTTTGGAACTCTAGTTTTGTCAAAACTCGAGTTATTTTTAGACTTCGAGTCCGTGCTCCGATGACTCGCGCTCGACTCGACTCGAACGAATGAGTGTTTTAAACCACCAAGCAGTACAAAATGAATCGAGTTTATAAATATAGACTCCCGGACTCGAGTTTTTTACCACACTTTTATCCACAGCAATTGCAGTGCCACTCAGAGCCTTAAATCGCTAATATCTGAGTTGTACTGCTACTGCGCCCGTTACCCTGAGACGTTAGTTGATAAGTATCATATACCTGTAATTGCATCAGCACCCTTACCCTTTAAAAAGCAATAATACTCACATTACTGCTTGGCGGCCAAAATAGATAAGGTAACAAACAGTACTTCCCTGAGAACCCCTAGTTAGATTAGTGGAAGTAATCAATTTGAAGACTTACTTAAGAGGCACATATTCGCCAAAGAGTATTTCTTCATCAGAGTTGCCTGTCAGCTCGCACCAACCCACCGCGTAGGTAATCCAAGAAGGGCATTGCTTTGCGTAAAATCCAGTTTGTGAGTTTATGGATTCCGCATAGTATGCTGGGGCTCGGGCGTGATTACATCCAGATGCAGCTGGGAAGATAAATTATAGCATTATCAATAAATTGTTCCATACAAATACTCTATTAACCAACCTTACATTAGGCACGAGTACAAATGTACACTTCGCACCCCTTATAGAAGAATGGCAAATGGACTTACGTCAACATCTTTATTGCTCCATTGCACATCCTCTCCAATTCTTGTAACTCTATCTACAATATTAGTAGATAGAATTACAAGAATTGGAAAGGATGTGGGTTATTTAAATAATAAGGTATGTGATACTGAACAACCATATTGAATGAACCTGAACACGATCCTTTTGATGCCTTAATTATATCGATAGCTTTTTTTTTTAAATAAAGCTAAGAAACGATCATATCGTATCGTTATCGATATCGTTATAGAGCTATTTTAACAATACACTGACAATATACGACACCTAAAAACGTTACACGACGGTAATAGCTCGTATGAGATAACACGTATGGAACGTGTACCTGCTACTGTGTCAAATAAAGATAAGTTGCGTGAACGATCGCGGTAATAATACCGCTTAGCTTGCAGGTCTATTTTGATAATAAGTGAAAATATGCAGGTAAGATATCATAAAAGCTTAAATACTAGAAACTAAAACTAGAACTAAATTATATGAATAAAATTAGATCCCCGCGGCAAGTTGCCCATGATTAATTTATATATTAACGTCCTTTAATTTTTTTGGTTAAAATTTTATTTTTATTATAGTACTAAGTGACGGGACGAACAAATCGTGCGCCTGGTGGTAAGCGACACGCCTATCCATAACAGTTACAGTGTCACACAGAGCTTTAAATCACAAATACATGAGGGGCACTGCCACTGCACCCGACACCAAAAGACACAAGTTGACAAGTCCCATATGCCTGTAATTTCACCAACCCCCTTACTCTACGAAACCGGAACGCAGTAATACTCACATTACTGTTTGGCGGCAGAAATAGAAATGAAAACTGCTGGACAATCTCTTTCGCAAGGAGCTATACTACTACGAACAGATGAAGATTTATACAGATGAAGAGCACCGGGACCTCGTGGGCCAAGGGTTTCGACTCCAAAGGGTGCAAATAGCTAGTCGGAACCGAGGTCCTGGTGCTTAATATTATTCTACGAAAATAATTACGTACACTTGGTAGTATGCGTAACACTCATCACGTCAAGCTACTCAAACCGTCACTTTTTTAAATTGCAAATTTAAGCGGCGGAAAATTTTCTTTATTTTATTGGGGACAACAAACAGTTACACAACACAGATAGTACCTTAGCTATAACTAAGAAATTGTGACTTATTGAGTATCCAACATCGTTAATCACAAATTACGCAAACCGTTTTCGGGTTTCTGTAAATACTACTGCACCCCTAATTCAGTGGTGTCACTAACAATTACTACATAATAGTAATGCAATTATGGAAGTATATACAGGATGCCCCAACAGACATATCAGTCGGTTAGAGAATTTACAACAATTAATAATTTAATCAAGATTACTTTTGTTGTTAATAGGAACTTGATAGACATTTTAAGTTTAGGTAAATTGTTGTTGCAATCATTGTGGTAAAATGGCTTTGATCACTTTAAGAGTGAACGCAATTTAATGTTTGAAGTTACCTACTACAATTTTAAAAAAAAATCTATAACAATACAAATGACATTTTTGTTTCGAATCTAAGAGTCCCTTCAAATAAGGCTTCAAAGTGCTTGTATAAGAGCGTGATTTGAAGGCAGCCTTTATCGCGTATATTCGTTTTTTCATACGAACTAACGTTTCAGCCTCATTACAGGTCCCATGATCACGGCCGACTGAGACCTCAATCAAAACAGAAAAAATAATTTTATTTAAAAAGTTGCATTTACAATACAATATACAGCAATCGTGATAACCTAAGAACTCAATATTTACTTTTAGTGTATAATATCTTTAGACATATTTTTATTAATTAAAAAAAAAAGTGCACATTTGACCTTTATCTCAACTGATGGGAAGTGACGATGTAGCATGCACAGCAATAATACTTATTCACTTTGGCTTTGAAAGGCCCAAGTTATAATTCCGGGAATAAGTAATTAACCCAATTAAAAAGTAGATTCCGTATTTTGTAAAATTATTGCTCTATAAATAAAGATAGGCGCTGTGTTGTAGATATTGGAACAAATCCTGTTAAAGAAAATTTTCACACGACAAGATTTAAATTCGTCTTTATGCTGTTTGCGATTACAACGGTCCAAAATATAAAACCCAGCGTACTATGACAGTACAATGTAATTAAATATTACACTTACTTTGATCCTTGGACGTTTTACAGCCTGGCTGCATCATGCCACCATTGGCAAAGAAGTCTACAGTACCGGATGGTTCGAGTTTGCCTTTTTCCAATGCGTTCGTATGGAGTACGTCCACAAACTTGGCATCACCGCTGTCTAATTTCTTACGGTTGTCAGAGGTTGCAAAAAGCGGTAATGCAGGATCGAGACCTGAAAATTAAAGATTAGGTAAAAAATTAACATAATTCGTGCAGCATCGTAAACATTAATAAACTATCATGATTAAACGCCTCTATACAAAGTATTGGTGTAATAGAGCACAATATTACACCAATAATCCACAGAATTACTTAAAAATAAGAACTGCCCCCGTGGCCGAACGGTTACCATGCTGGTCTGCCACGCTGAGGTTCCGGGTTCAATCCCGGGGCCGGGAGAATTATCTACATACCTTGTATTATCTACATTTATTTCTCTCGTGAGTTTGGATGTAATTTGTACAGGGTTTCCCTGGTGCGAGGTTATGAGTATGTGCGTTATTATTAAGAGCATCCTTAAATAAAGAAAACGTTTTAAAGTAAAGAATACTGTATGGCTAATATTTTCGATTATTTTATATATTATATATTATTAACACGATAGATAAAAGCTATAAAAATTGCTCCTGTATCAATAACCTACGGTTAACCCTAGTACAGCTGGCCTGTACTCGTATATATAAAATCATATACTTAAGTATCTACCTTTCCCTTCTACGGAAAATATTTTGAACATACCTGTGCTTCGTTCGAAACGTCCTGATGTCATATAATTACCGATGAAGCCTACAATTTGACCACCAAGACTGAATCCAATCGGATGTATTTTTGATAGACTGAAGTTATAATTCTTCACCATTTCATCAACCAGCTGGGCGGTGCACATTCCCACAAGTTCTGTGTTGCGAGCCGCTTGAATATAACACGGATCTCGGGCTATTGGATTATAGTCCACCGATATTAAATTGTAGTCGCAGCATTCCATATACGCTAAAAAATTCATAAATTTTGTAGAATTACAAGTAATCAAGAATTACTTTAAGCAGTATTCGGGCATGAAAGTAAATTAGCCCTCAGCCTATTTGTAAGAACTTCATTGTCCACAAAGGCCTACTTTGTGTCTCACCGTCGCCTGAGAGACATTCATGAAGTACAATGTCCCTTTTCATGACAATGTACACACTTACCTTGTTTAAAATGTTAGCTACGTTAGCTACATTTGTTACGATAGCAAAATATCATCTATCTATCATCATCATCTATTAATACGAAGATCAAACAATACAAACAATAATTCCTTGTCATATTTTTATTGGATAAACAAAAATAATAAGTACTTATATTTAAGTACAGTAAACTATTTGTCTAATATATGTTGACGGCAATCAATAAAGTTATTATTATCAAGGAAAGTTGTTGAAGGACCCCTCAAAGATTTGTATAATGTCGTAGGAAGTGTCACCCCATGAAACTTCAGACTTTTTCGACAGCGTTATCATAAATTTGAACTATTGAAGTTGTTATTAAATTGTTTTAGTAAAAAAGTTGCTATAATCATTACCTGGTCTTAGTTCGGTATTAGGTGTAGAGTTCCTGTCCTTGGTATAGCCATGAATGATGATCTTGATAGGGGCATCCTTCACAAAAGGAGCCGAGGTAATGGACTCGGGTTTGAGTGCAAACAGTTGATGCGGATTGTTCTGATTTGCTCTACATACAGAAAATTTACTTTTTTTTATATACAATAATGACCATAAAACTAATGCGACGGTAATTATTGGAAAAAAAGGAAAAAAAGAAAATTGCCTTAAAACATTTCTGTAATGAATTAAACAAATAAAAAAACCGCAACTACGTGAGGCGCACTATAAGTTTCCGGAATGAATAAGAAAAAAATACTATAAATGGTCAGAAATGAATTTATTGTTTCTCAAAATTTCTCAGTTAGCGTTAATGCAATTTTTCACACGAATGATCTAATTTTGAAAACATTTATCCTCCGTGACAATCTCTGAAACATATTTTTCATACACTTCGACTGCCTCTTCAGGTGATGAAAATCGTTGACCGCGTAACTGATTCTTAATTTTTGGAAATAAATAAAAGTCACAAGGCGCCAGGTCAGGACTCTACGCGGGATGGCTCATAAGGTCAACGTTCTTCACCTTCAAAAATTCATTTGTATGTCTGGCCGTGTGAGAACTGGCATTATGGTAGTGCAAGATGATACGGCGTTTACTGTTATTTTTACGGAGTTTGTCAGTAACTTCCGGCAAAAAATGGTCATGTACCAATCACTATTCACGGTACTACGATTCTCCAAAGCAATAGTAGCCACGTGTCCAGTTTTATTAAAAAAAGAAGCAATCATCTGCTTAAGGCAGTTTACACGCTCGCCAATTTAGTTGGTTTCGGCTCATCTCGAAAGCCCCATACGCTCAACTGCTGCTTTGTTTTGGGATCCCAACTATAAATCTATGTTTCGTCACCTGTTACTATATCTCACACCAAATTTGACGCCCCTTCGTTGAATCTGGTAAGCATGGCATTGCACCAAGTGACACGATCCTATTTTTGAGCCTCAGACAAATTGTGTGGGATCCACCGAGAGCACAGCTTTTTCACACCCAAATGTTTGTGTAGTATTGACTATATATGTATAACTCATGTCTATACTTAAAGATGCCCGAATCTCATGGATGTCACATGCCTGTCTGTTTTGATCATACGGCGCACTGCGTCGATGTTTTTGTTGTTGACAGCAGTGGACGGGCGACCATTACGAAATTCGTCACTGAGATTCACACGACCGCGTTTGAATTCTGCAAACCAGCTATAAATAGTCGTCTTGCATGGTGCTTCATCGCCAAAAGCAGTTTGAAGCCGAATGAAGCTCCGCTGAGCTGTTACATTACACTTAAAGTCGTAGAAAATCATACTACGAAAATTTTCACGAGTTAAGTCCATGGTGATGTAGACAACCAGTTTCTAAAATGACGCCACAATGAAAAACAAGTGACAGTCAGATAAAATAAACAGTATTCTACAGCTAAATAGTTTCATTTTCAAATGTTGTAATTACTTTTTAAATATTGTTTATAAGTGGCCAGTTCCGGAAACTTACAGTGCGCTCTATGTATAATTCGTACCCTGCCATAATAAAGCCACACGTGATCATACGCCATAAGTATTTTTATTATATGAAAGTCATAAATATAATACGAACTTTCATTAAGCAAATTACGTATATGTGTTATTATATAACTACTGTACTATTTAAGCATAAACACTTAACAACTAATTTCGTTTGTAGTCTTTGCAGTCCGATATTATTATTCATTAATTATTATTATTCAATTAACATTACTTAATTTTTTTTGCTACTCTTCTTATTTTGTTTTTTTTGCTTTATTTGATTTTTTCACAAAATTCGTTTTTTATTTTTTTTCAAATTTTTTTTGTTTCTTAATTTTTTTCAGAAAATTCATGGATCATAATATTAGTAAATAAAATAAGACTGTTTACATTAAAACAGAATAATGACTTGTGATGATAATGAAATGTGTCCTTATAAAGCTGGTAATCAAGGTATACTTTACTAAAACGTTACAAATGCTAAAATCACAAGTTTATCACTATTGGTGTATGAAAGGTGTATTAAAGTTTGTAGTAAAAAGCTACAGTAAAGTAAGTAGTATTTGAATAAAGATGTTTGTAGTTTATGTAAGTGGACGTGCGGTTATCTTTCAAACTGAGAAGACGAGGGTTCGAATCCGTGTGGTGGCATGTACCTATGACTTTAATTTCTAAGTACATTTTGTGAATGGTCACAAGCAATGGCTCTCAGTAACGGTGAAGAAAAATATCGAATGAAACCTGCAGAAGGTTTGCAGCTCAAATCACATTATTGGGAGAAGAATTTTCCACTAGTTCTATTAATATAATTTAATAGAACACCCGTGTCGGAAAATTCTCAGTAGTTCTATAATAGAACTAATAAAAACGAAGCGTTATGCTAGCATGGCAAATTAAAACCTACACTGTCCTTAGAGGAGATCGATGGTCGGCCCAAAGATGGGTTGATTGATGACATATTCGTCGGGATAGGAACTTATCGAATGTTGGGTTCTTTAAAAAGTCGTAACAAAAGACCTAATAGGACAAGTGACTGGTGTAAGATACATACCAAATACAGTCTGAATATAAAGAAAATTAAAAACCACATACCGTGTGTATAACCAGAATGTGACGTTTTCGTTGGGACACTCCATCGGTGGTTCGACACATCCTTCCATTATGGCACTACTCATGTCTATTATTAGAAGAAAAAACGGTGTTCAGAATTTTTCATATATTTCCGTATTATTTATTTTATAGAGAAATTAAGTTAAAATTGTAATTGTTGGTTACTTATAAACGTCCGAATATGTTATGACATAAAGTCGGGTTTTATCGGATTTTACAGTAATTTATTGGTTTGATTATCGGTGTTGTTTTAAAATATTTATTAATCGTTGTACAAACAATTACTTTACATTCACTTTATTTATAAAAACCACAAGCAAATATACTCACTTATACACAACGCGCTTACTATGAAGTTGATGATGTACATTGTGTTAATAAAGGTAATGCCCTATTATTTTTGCTAAGGGATCTCTATTTATTAGTCAGTTTTAAGATAAGGGGATTTCAGAGATGACGTGTTCAGTCTCACTCGTTTACAAACAGAAGACATCCAATTGATACTTGGAATAAAAAAACTGTAGAGGCGTTAGTCGTTCTTCTAAAAAAATTGTATTGTGCCTGTATCTACTACGTGTACTTTCTACATGTGACGAGTATTCACAGCGGGAACACTAGTTGGGTATCAGTAACCACAGCTTATTATATGTCAAATATACCTGTCTTTGATTGTGACTTTTTTGTAGTGTTGTCGAAGCCGTCAGATGTTGTCATCATCTTTTTTCAAGGTGCTCAGCAGCGTTTCCCTGTCAGCTGTCATTTCGGCGCACTAATATAAGAGTCCACTCACAATAGTTCTTATCTGGGGATGTAGGTACTTACTTACTTACTTATTAATGTAGTAATGATTTGGTTTGTTAATTTCAACTTCTGATATCTGAATCAAGCGTAACAAAGTTTACACAACGAGTAAAAACCAATATTTATAAACAGTTTGGTCCATATATTTTTTAACATTTTTATTTTCGACGTTTACGTAAGAATCCATTTTTGCCGATAAACATTGAATAGACAAATCGAAAGTGCTTGAAAATGTTATTACTATCCTATATCGTCCATATAGATGGACGGAGGATATTATGAAATGTCGTAAGGAATATTTTGTTCCTTACGACTATTTGTGTACGAGGACGAGGAATATTTGTGTTTGAAAATGATTCTTACTACAAAATGTCGCTTACGACTTTTCGAAATTCGATATTTCGACGAAAGTATTACGCTTATGTCGATGGTAAAAATTAGAAATGTTCTAAGAGACATTATGCCGTAACTTAATTTTCCCGTACGACATTTCAAATTTCCACCATCGATGTTAATAACTTATTTTGTTGTGTGTACTATTGTTATGTGAAATGGCGTTTCATAATTTCTAGTTTAAACACTTAATTTTCTTTCTACTTTGATTATGTCAAAGAATTTTAATTCATATGAAGACGGCTCTTTGCATATCATTGTTCTAAATTGTTATAAGATAAGCGAAGTGTAAATGACGCTAAATTGTAATTGTAGTACTAAGGAACAAACTGGTCGTCTTATCATTTTCCGTAAGTTTTTGGCCTTTTCCAACATTTTAGGGATCAGTTTTAATGCGAATAAACCATAAAAAGGTTAGAGTTCAGATAGTTAGAACCAAACTTAAAGTACTCTATTAGTAAACGAAAAACAGGATTGGTATTCGGTATTAATTTTTCTTTTTTTAAATATTTCTTTTTTAATTGATAGATTCAGGCGTTACTTTGCGGAAATCCATGTTAATAAAAATGGAAGTAGTTTGCTACTCCGCGAACCCAGTGAAGGTTAAATCGTGCAAAATAGCTGCGCTAGTGTTGAAATTTTTTTCATGCAGTTAATTATCGATAAAATTAATAAAATAAATAACATAAGCGCAACTATAGTCACAAACCAGCACCAAAAATATACCCGACACGTGTTTCGCCTCTCGACGAGGCATCCCCAGGGGCTGTTGACTGTTCGACGCTCGGCCGAAGACTATAGTTGCGCGTTATTCATTTTATTAATTTTATGCGGAAGGAGGGTGGGATAGTTGACTGCATGAAAAAAATATTCAACACAAGCTCAGCTATTTTGCACGATTTAACCTTCACTGGGTTCGCGGAGTAGCATATTAATTTACTTCCATTTTTATATATTTTTTAATAATTCTAAAAGAAGATTTGTGAAGTAGTAAGAATATTTTTTTATTTAGAATAGACTTAGATCCTAGTCCTTTTTCTCATTTTACATAATTAAAGTTTAGTGTTGTGGAAAATACATCGAGTTTTTCATAAATAAATAGATCGTTGAAGACCAATCTGATATTGAACTACGGACCGAGTAAGCAGATCTTACGAATTTCTCTATTTGTTTGTTGCAAATTCTTGTATTGGGTTTAAACGGATTTTTTCCCGTCAGCGCCACTTGTGAGAAACCTGTGAAAGCTTCGTTACTCAGCCATGTATGGCATCTGTGACCCCGATATGGTAATTGACGCTGGTTGGAGTCCAGTCAGATCTAAGGAATTTTTCTTTGTATTGTTCTATCTTTGTATCAATAATGAAAAAAAAAAATCTTACTTTATTTGCGGAACCTTTGAATAGAAAATTTAAAATACGTGTAACTGTTTATAGATAGAGTAATAGTCACGAACTTGTTCAAACACAAAATAAATACGTAATGTGATGGGAGTGCAATGTGTTATCATGAAGATATTTACGTAAAGGGTAGCCTTCAGACCCTAGCGACGTAGTCTGCCCTTCGTTTGTAGGAAAACTCTTATCACTAATATCTCTTCAGGATGTGTTTTTACTTGGAAAAAACGTGACGCGTACTTGGAAAAAACAGCATGGATGTTGTTATTGTAAACAGGTACTATATGACGAGTCATATTCACAAAGCAATTTTTTTAATTACTATTTTTTTTCTAAAACCGAACCTCAATTGCCTTTTTTGTTCTGAAAGCCTCTTTGACATTCTAAGACTCATTAAAGTTTCATGCGTGTTATTTTCAACTTCAAATAATACGCAGATAAGTGATTGTAATACGTACATTGTATATAGGTAGCTTGGTGCTTAATCTACTGTATGCCTACTCTGCGCTCCTTAATTGGCGCTTCGTTATGATTATAACTAACTTAATCGAAAATTTTAGCAAAATTGAGTTTATAACACATTTGAGTAGAGCGAAACGAGATCTCCAACCCCCTCTAATCGGTTTTTTAATATCCTATTTAGTTTCAGTTTTACTCAGCGTAATTGACATTTTTTTAGATGATAATAAAACTTTAAATGCCAATATCGCGAAAGTTACCACAATGCAAGTGCCTTAATTATAACAAGGAGGGCAGTATTATTTGTACTCACAATTGTATTTCTACATTATGTATATACATAGCAACTTTAACTTTAAACTGTAATTATGTCCATAAGTGTTGTTGCAAACTGTAAAACTTAAGAAAGCTATAAAAGTAAAGTCATTAAGTGTTTCAAAATGTTCATTTATTGTTCTCATAAGCTTAAAATCAGTCAGTTCTTTTGAACAGAAGACACATTTGGCACTTTGTTCACTAAATAATATGGCTCATTACAAGTTTGAAATGAAGAGCTCTTTATTAATTTAACTTTTGTACATTAACATTTTGATTAATAATGATTTGCATAACATTCTATGAATTTCCACACAGATAGCATTGACACTAATAAAATATAAATAGTAAATATAATAAGCGTAAAAATGTATGTGTAACCGTGACAAATACAAATTTATTTGCTAATGAGCTCTTCCAGACTTAGTTACATAATGATTTTGACATACAATAGACGAATTATGAATACCTGCACTTCAGTGACAATTTCGTGACCACAATACAATAAACTCAATAAAATTAGTTTCTGTAAATTCTCTAACATAAATTATTTACAACGTTCACTTACTTTATGTACATGAGGTTCATGAAAGTTAATTTATAATATTCGCAAGAAAAGTTTAATAGATTTAACGACATATTATGGCAAGAGGATAGGATCTAGAAGGACCTTGATACAAGATCACAATAATACATTTGTACAAAATCTTACAATATATCTATTTACAATTTTGTTCAGTTCTTCACATTACACGTATTCTTCCGACGGCTTTGGGGTGCCATTCGGAAGCCGCAACGAGGAAGACATTCTGCCATTAACAGAATCAGGTAATTCTGCAATGTCTTTGAAAACACCAATCATACTTTCAAAGTTTGGACCCCAATTCAATAAATAGTCCCAACCGAGTGTGGCTGGTGCCGGAGAACCATTAGCCTGTCTGTAGAGAGCTGAACCCACGTGCGGTGCCAAGTCATCGTCCGATGCAACGAGAGTGCTCAACGACCCTCGGAAAGATGAATCAAAACTTTCATAGGGTGGAGGCAATATTGGCTTTTTCGTGTTACTACCACTACTGACGTTTTGTCTTCTTACGTCTTCTGGTTTATCCGCACTTATGCTATTGTTGTCATATTCTATTTCTGAACAAGTAAAACTGTCATTTCCACTCTCATCATCGGACCCAGAAGAGCTTCTGTGATCTACCGGTGGCGAATGATGTCTGTGAGACATATGATGACCAACGCCAACACCGCGTGGTGCTTCACTCGAACTGGATACCGCATCTAAAGTTGATACTAAACTAGATGTTCTCTGTCTAGCATTCATTCTTTCTATTTCTTCTGCTGTTAAACCTACAGCGCCTGTGCCCACAGAAACTACTTGAGGTACCTGCGGTGGTGCACTCGGTGTCTTCCTTCCGGCGGATGAACTCTGTCCGCTTAGTTGTGACATTACAGGACTATTTAAACTACGCTCACTATTACTGTGTAGGGCGTCTTTTCCAACACCCCCTGAACTTGATGTTGTAGCTAATAAGGCACTTTGTAACGGTTTGCCGGAAATATCATGAAGTGTCAATATCCTCGGTTGTTGACTTAATTCACTGCTGGGCGACAATCTTGCAAGTGGTGTCGTTTGATGTTGTCTTGGTTGCGGAGGAGGTTGTGAAGCTTGCGGAAGTACTCTTGGTGGGTATCCACTTGGATGATGTGGTGAATGTCTATGTGGAGGAGTTTGGTGTTTATGATGATATCCTGCTATTGGTGGTGGCGTTGCTTTATACTTTCTTACTCCACCAGCCTCACGAAAACCTTTGTAATGATAAACTATATCAATATCGGAAGGTGCTATAGAACTAGCGTTCTCAAGATCGTAATGCTCAGGTACTTCAGAGTTTAAGTCCATGCCGCTCGGATGGTCATGAGTATGGTGTGATGTATTTGTAGATGGTGGTGGTGGCGGATGATGATCTTCTCTAAGGGCTGGACTTTTGCCTACCACTTCGCGTTCTATTATATCAGGTCGTTGCGGCCTCGGTGGATCTATATTCATAATTTCTCTGTCTTTGTATTTCTTAGACAAAAGTTCGGGGCCAACAATATGACCAACATTTCGCATGATATCAGCATTATCTGACATGTAGCTGTTGAGATTAGTTTCGTTGCTATGGAGACTCCTGCCTATTAAAGTGTCGTTGGTTCCAGCAATCAAATTAGGGGCGTTAAGCATCGCAGGGCCACCATTTTGCTTTGAAGGCATTATTCCTGTTTTATTGGTGGAGCCATTACCTTTTTCCTTCTTTTGCTTACGTAATCGGAAAACTACGAAGGAGACTAAAATGGCTACTATAAGTATTATAAAGAACACAATCACAAGGGTAATACCGATGCTCAATGGATCTGGATTTTGAGCCATACCAACTCCAAAAGCATTATGGCAACCTGATATAATTTTTCCTATACGCGTTGCTTCTCTGAATATACTTCCATTGCCACTAAAAGGCTGCACTTCACTATTAATCGAAAAGTTAGCCAAACAACCTTCAAATTTGTTATGACTGGATCCTGGTAGCCATTCTGATTTAACACCTCCGAATGCTATGGTTGTGAGATATGGATCCAGAAAGTCATGCACACCTGCTGTATCAAGTTCTTCGCCAACATTTTTATTATCTACCATTAATCTTATGCTTCTGCCTAATGAGAATAGTGTAACTTTATGCCAATTTCCATCGGATACATCATCTTGTTCAGTTTGCGTCATATTTACGATGGAGTTCTGTTTAGATGTATAGCTAACTTTACCACCCTGTAATTCGATTAGTGTATAATATTTATCAGTAGCAGCATAGAATACAAGTCCATCTTTTCTGCGAGTTCTGAATGAAAAAGATAAAGTTTTTGCAGGGCCATTCGATTTTGAGACAGTTTTTATAGCAAGTTTATTCGTTTTCTTTTCCCAGCCTGTGTTACCGCCGTAAAAGCTCTCTAATAGCTGCATTCTTCTATGTTTTTCTGATATTGTGTAAAAAACGAAAGCATTTTCACTCACTGAAATTGCTAGCAGAGAAGCACTACAGTCAGGTGATATTAAATTTTCATCACATTTACAGAAATTTGACTTCCATCGGTCAAGGCATTCACCAGCACCACAAGTGTCTTTTTTGTAGCAAGCTCCTTTTTCAGATCGGTCACAGTTAGGATCCACACCACGTGCCCGTATAGGAGTAGTAAGATTTAATAATCGACCGTTGATCGTAATACTATGCATACAGCCGACGAAATCATCCGAATGAATTTGTCCTGGGCGCTCCAAAACTGGATCTGCTTTGTGAAGTCCGCCAATGAGTAGTGGTTCGTTGTTAAAGTTCAGGGTTCTGGAATAAAAAATAATATATTAACTTCTTTAAAACTTTACATAATGTTAGTATTTTAATGTCATTTTCATTATTGTACATACCCGGCCTGTCCAGTACCGTCATTGTAGCAAGAACTATCTCCAGGTTCACATTCAGTGCAGACGTCCCCGCGATCTGTGCAAGATGTTATGCTCAAAGAAATAACTCTGCCATTTCTAGTAGCTGTCAGTTTGTACCAGTTTCCATCTGCTAGGTTTTTGCTATTATCTGTAATAGCGATAGACGTAATTGATGTTCTTGCTCCTCCAAAAGAGAATACGGGCTTTCCTCCAAGTAGTTCTATAGCAATAAAATCTGATCTACCGCCAGTCTGAGCGCCAAAATTGTAAAGTAACAGTGCGTCTGGTTTAGTTGTAGCAAATATTATCGTGATATCATTGGTTGAAGGGTCGAGAGGTGGAAATTGCAAAAAAGATAGTTCATTGAATCCGAACGTTGAGCTTTCGCAGTGTATACCATAGCGACCATTGGTGCAGCTGCATTTATATCCTGGTTTTAAGCTTATGCAAATGCCTCCATGCATACATGGATTGGGCCGACAAGAATCAACAAGGGCTTCACATTGATTTCCGCGATAACCAGGGCGACATAGGCAAAAGAATGAATTTCTGTCTGAACTTTCTTTACAGGATCCGCCATTTTTGCATGGATTGCTACTACATACGTCATCCCTCTCAAGTTCACATGTTTTGCCTTCGCGACGGACAGAACAGATGCAAACGAAGTCGTGTCCTTGTTTTCTACATTGGCCACCAAACCGACAAGGATTTGGCGAACATGGGTCTTGACGTCTTTCACATTTATTTCCCATAAATCCATCTGCACACTGACATAAGAAGTCATGCTTAACTAGAGGTGATGAAAGAATCAAAGCAGAACTTTCTGTTATTTTGGTATCGTCCAATACCCTTAAGGAGTCTGTGCAGTGACCATTATTTTCACATTGATGGTGAGCGCAGGGATAATACGGAACAACGATTTGAGTTTTTAGTAACTTTGACACTTCTAAATCTTTGCTTTTTAAGTGTTTTTCAGTTTTTTCTCTTTTCCAGACGGAATGTTCAGATTTAATGGCAATTGTCAAATATAACCTATTGTCATCCTCATTAATGCTGTATAAGTTTATGCTTTCTCCATTTCCAAGTCCGGTTGCCAAAGTTTCAAGTAAACTACGGTAATGATGAGCCAGGAAAGCAGATGCACTCATGTTCTCTATTCTCATGGTAACTGATTGCTCTACCGTAGTATTATCAAAATTGAAATATTCTACACTTATTGAAGACACTACATCCCTATGAACTCCATCATTACCAGATACAGAAAATGAGAATCCTTGCCCAGGACGAACAGCATTCGTGTAGAGGTCGCAACCCTTTTTGATACTCAACATGGATAGTGTATTTTCAGATGTAGACTCTTTTATGATTTTACATTTGTAGTCACCGGTTGTGTCTGGATCGTTAGGTTTTACGTCTGCTATTCTTCCAATAGGTATTTTGTTGTTGAATGCATAAACAAGTACGTGTGCAGAACGAGAAGTAGGTGGATTGTCGTTCTTATCCAAGACTTTTATCAGTATAGTGTAGTTAGATTTCATGACGGGTACACCACTATCCTCGATTTGTATAACAACTTCTAAATTGGGAGTTAATTCTCTGTCTATTTTCTTCGTCGTTGTCATAACTCCAGTATGTTTATGTACTTTCACAGTATTTTGGTGCTTACCTCCAATTATTGTGTACGAAAACGGTGCACCGTTTGGTGGGAGATCTGGATCTTTTGCTGTAAGTGTGGTTATACTAGTGTTAGGAGGTTCATTTTCATAAACAGCTCCATCAAAATTGGCAACATCAAATACAGGTCCATTGTCGTTTACATCTGTTAAAGAAATTTTAACTGTAGCTGTTCCTGTTTGCGGCGGGATACCAGTATCAATAGCACCAACAATCAAAGAATATGTAGCCATAGTTTCTCTATCGAGTTGACGTGTTACTTCAATTACGCCGCTTTGAGGATCTATTTTGAAGTCTTGGTTGTTGTTAGGCCCAATAATCGAATAACTAAATTGGTTATTTTGTGGTCGCACATCTTTATCTATGGCTTTCACTTGAATAACATGCTGTCCAACGGGCGCACCTTCAGAAACAGTGGCTTCATAATAATGGCGAATGAATTCAGGTGGATCATTTCCATCTTGAATAGAAATTATGACCTGTGCTTCATCAGTATCATTGCCACGAATTCCTCCAGAATTTTTTGCAAGAACTGTCAAAACCACCCTATTTTGTGTTTCTCTATCCAAATAGCGTGCAACTCTGATTACGCCAGTTTGAGAATTAATACTAAAGCCTTTATCGTTACTGGAACCAACGAATAAGTAGTAAATTATTCCGTCGTCGCCACTATCTTGGTCAGTAGCTTGTATAACTCCAACATTGGTTCCAACTTCAGCCGATTCCGATACATCAAAATGGAATACTGGTTGTATGAACTTTGGGTAATATTCGTTCATTCCTGTTATATGCACAATTACATAAGTAGTATTTCTCATTGTAGAACCAGGATTTTCTGCTAAAATCTCTAATTTGTATGTAGATTTTTCTTCAAAATCAAAAACTTCTTTAGAGAATATTTCACCAGTTACAGCATCTATACGAAATAGCGATAACATTTCCTTACTTTTAATGTAATATCTTATTATTGCATTTTTAGGCGAATCAATATCTACAGCTCTAACTCGGTAAATAAAACTGTGAATGGGAGAATTTTCAGGTAAATATGCAGTATATTTTGTCTGGTTGAACTTTGGCGCATTATCATTTATGTCTGTTAGAATAATTGTTAAAGTTGCAGTTGTTTCTTTTGATTTGAATCCTAGATCTTTGGCAGTTATGTTGAGACGATATTCTTGAATAGTATCGTAGTCTAGTGCACGCAGGATACCAATCGTACCAGAGACTGGATGAATTTGAAATTCCTTGCCAATGTTTCCAGATGAAATAGAGTAGCGTACTATTCCGTTTGGGCCTAAATCTTCGTCACTTGCTTTAACAGTCAATATGGGTAATCCAATCGGTTCATTTTCTGGAACAATTACTTGATAACTGAGAGCTGTAAACTTGGGACTGTACATATTTTCACCCGTTACAACAAATGTCAGAGTAGTTTCGTCTGATTGTGGAGGAACTCCTCGGTCTACTGCTTTGATTTTCAATCCATAATACTGTCCGATATAATAGAATTGTTTAGTGACAACCACCCAACCACTACGTTTATCAACTGAAAAATAGGCTGTACCATTTCCACCAGACACATAATATTCAATTTCAGCATTAATTCCATAATCTAAATTGTCTTCAGCGATCAATTTTATAATCCTTTCTCCGAGAGTTGCATCTTTCGGAACAGGCACAAACTTTTCATGCTCTTTGAATTTAGGAGCATTATTATTTGCATCAACAACATTTATGGTTACTAAACATTCCGATGACATAGGAGGTTTACCATTGTCAGTAGCCACTACGATCACAGAATACGTATTTTCTGGCGATGAATTGACCGAAGTTCTTTTATACTTCATCATGAATTTGCTAAGAATTTCTCCAGTAGCAGGATCGGCCGAAAACAAATCTGAAGATTGTTGTAAAGAGTATGAAATTATTGAATTAGGCCCTTGCTTATCTCTATCTGTGGCAATAACTTGGCCAACGAAACTATTTTTCTTTTGCAGTTCTGGGAAATTGAAGCTATAGTATGAATATTCAAATTCGGGGGCATTATCATTTTGATCTTGTATAGTAATTGTCAAGGGTGTTTCAGATCGCCAAGCGCCGTCTATCGCTGCCACTTTGAGTATATATTCGTCTTGTAACTCTCTATCCAATGGTCTTGCTACGGTAACGTTACCACTGACAGGGTCGATCACAAATTTTTCTCCAGGGTTCTCTACAAAACTATAAGTGGCATTAGCATTAGGTCCTGTATCGAGATCAGAACTTGTCACTTTAATAACGAAAGAACCAATTTCAGCGTTTTCAGTAACATTTACGCTGAAAAGGCGAGTAAATCTTGGAGGATTGTCATTTTTATCTAATACTGTTACAATTACAGTTGATGTTCCCACCAGCTGAGGGTCTCCATGATCAAATGCTTCTACTAATATTTCATAGAATGGTATTGATTCCCTGTCTAGAGCTAAGTTTGTATAAATTTCTCCACTTTCAGAATCAATCACAAAGGTTTCTTCATAATCGTTGACAAGTCTGTACGATATTCTTCCATTCTCATTAGAATCCTCGTCATGAGCGTTTATTTTTATGACCAATTGTGGTGGAGATTCTTCCTCTAGTACAGTAGCGTTGTAAAGCGCATTTTCTATAATGGGAGCGTTATCATTGGCATCAGTTACTTTTATTTCTATTTCAATAAATGATTTCAAGGGAGGGTTGTCAGAATCTCTCACTTCAAACCAGACTTCATATAAAGGCATCGTTTCATAATCTAATCCTTTTCCAGTGATGAAAATTTCACCACTCATTGATTCTATTCTCAATGCGTCACCTACATTTCCTCCAGCAATTGCATATTGAAGCAAACCAGTGGGACCTTTTTTAGGGGAAGTAGCTGATAATCTTGTCACCAGTACACCTTCTGGTGTATCTTCTGAAAATGTAAACGTCAATTTGTTCGTCACGGTAAATCTAGGGAAATTTTTTACGGATTTTGGTATAAGAATTAACTCTGCAGTGCTCTGTCGTGGTGAGAGACCGGAATCAGTTGCTACTATAATTAAGTTGAACGATGAGCTACCGTTTTGCTTATATTTTATAAGGTTTTCTTTTGCTTTTATTACTCCTGTTTCTCGATTAATAGAAAACAGCTCCTGATGTTCTCCTTTCAAGTCATAGATGATTTTACTGTTCAAACCAATGTCACTGTCCTTGGCTCGTGCACCAAAAACAAAATCACCAATCACTGTACGCTCTGAGATGTAAGCTTCATAAACCGGTTGAGCGAAGTTTGGTGTATTGTCGTTCTCATCTTCTACAACAATCGTTAGATTTGCGGTAGCGGTTCTTGGGTCAGTAGTTGACGAATCTTGAGCCATGATTATCAAATAGTAAATGTTCCATTCTTCCCTGTCTAATGTAGCGTTCGTTGAAATCACTCCAGAAGCAGAATCTATTTGAAATCTTTCAGATTTATCGCCAAGAAGGCTATATCGGATTTTCGCATTATTCCCTATGTCCTTGTCTGTTGCTTTCGGGTACAAAATAATGGTTCCGGGCGGCAAGTTTTCTTTAACATTGGCTTTATAGCTCTGCCTCTCATACTCGGGACTGTTGTCATTAACATCTTGAACAACTATTTTCACAGTACCAGATCCTGTAAGCGGCGGAGATCCTGAAAAACAATATCACTTATTAATAATTAGTAACTACATATGCACTTAAAAGATAGTAATTCGATAATAATGCGAATTCTACTAAATTAACGTAATCTGCAATATTACTCACCAGTATCCATAGCCACAAGTGCCAGAGTATACTCATCTTGCGCTTCACGGTCCAATGTTCTTAATAAGGAAATCTGCCCCGAGGACGCATTTATTTTGAAAAGATCTGCGTCTCCTTCCTTGATAAAATAGCGCACTTGATTGTTGAATGGCGGTGAATCAGCATCATAGGCGTGAATAGTTATAATATATCCGCCGTTAGGAGGGATTACATTTTCCATTACGTACGCTAAATATGGCGAATCTAGGAACGTGGGTGGGTTATCGTTCATGTCTTGAATTGAAATAGATAGTTCAGCTGTATCAAATCTAACATCATCTTTAGCACAATCTTCAGCTCTAATTGTTAATACATAGCGAGATTTTCTTTCAAAATTAAGATTTTTAGCCACTCTAACGACGCCAGTATCTTCACTAATACTAAAATCTCTGTTTTCGTCTCCAGAAGCTATAGAATATCTAACTCTGCCATTTGTTCCTTCATCTATGTCAGTAGCTGAAACCTGTAAATTACAATGTATAAGACATTACTAAAATACAAGAACTAATGAATTATTGTACACTCATCCAAATTGTGAAATAACAGTAACGACGTACACAGTCACAAGTGATAAAATACACAAAATATGCTGACGTTGACAACGTCACGCGGCTATCACAATCACAGTTTTACACGCTAATCTTATTATAAAACATAAGGTTGGTTTTATAAGAAAAGATTTGTTTTATTATTATTTGTCCTCAATGGCGGCCATTAGGCTTAAGCTAGTGTCAATTTCGTTGTTTATTATCGGTTGATGTGTTGCATCGAGTATATAACCAGAAATAGAGACGAAATATCATTTAATTTGTTTGAAAACTATTCTGCCATATCATTACTGTGACAACTGCGCTCCGATTGGCCAGGCCGAATTCGAAACAATTGACGGGTGTCGTCAATGGTTGTCGTCAACTATTTCACTTCAAATCGACCAGTTAACTTGAGCTTTTCCATAATAGACGAAAATTGCAAAATTACATATTTAATTACCGATGAAATGTTACCGTTTGTTTTGTAATTAGATGTTTTGCTGTTTTCCTACACCACCGAATAGAACAGCACGGCATTGCTAGAGATATTATCTTTATTACAATAAATACATAATATTTTTTGAAATATACGGATACGTACACACAAGTCTGTAGTTGGCCTGTCTATATTTCAGTGCAAACGAGAGTTGATATTTATAAAAGCTGTATCGCTAATGTGTTACCAGGAATATGTGGCCTTTTTTTCGTCTCTATTTCTGGTTATATACCCGATGATTTATTGATATCGCTGTGACAATACATATGAAAAATCAAGATTTTGGAAGGAGTCCAAACAGTGTACTTACTTGCAAGACACTAGCACCAATACTAGCATTTTCAGGAACTGAAGCACTGTATTGTTTAGGGTCAAATACTGGACTGTTATCATTTTCGTCTAATATATTTATGGTTACTTTTGTTTTTGTCACATTTGGTGGGTCACCTCTATCTTTGGCTGTTACAATGATTGTGTAACTTGATTTTAATTCTCTGTCAAGTTTCCCAGATGCTCTCAATATGCCGTCAACATTCCCAAGGGAAAAGTAACCATTAACTTCTGGATCAGGTGCCATGAAATATTCAATATAACCGTTCCTTCCCTCATCCTTGTCTACAGCCTTTATTGTCATTACTACAGTGTTTAAGGGTATATTTTCTGACACAGTTGTAATATTTGGTGTTATAAATTCTGGCGCCATATCATTAACGTCCTTCAATTGGATTGTGACCTAAAAATTTAATCAAATAAAAAATAAAATAATATTAATTTCGATTCTATGAAAAATAAGCCCGTCTTAGTAACGACCACACCAATCGGAATACGTAAATAACCATATTTAAAAAAGTACAGCAGTAAGTCCGTTCCCGACCCAACTCATCAGAGGCACATTGTGAAAACCAACAATGGCCGCAGTTAACAATGGGCTTTTAATGAGGACCAGTACAAAATTTTGACTACTTTGATTCTTGTTTATACAAGAAACTAAGAACATTTTCTTAATAATCCTTGTACTAATTGAATGAGTCACAACCGCCACGTTTAAACTGTTTAACAGTAATATCCGGCTTACAAATATTTTGGAATGAGGCCTAGACTAAAAAGTGATAAATAGAAACTGGCCTGAGTTCTTGGGCATTAAATAAAAGTTACACGCCGATAACTACTTAGTAGGAGTTCTCCAAAAATGACACTGGACTGTAAAAACAAACATATCTCACGGGCAACAGGACTAACAATCACACAAAGCCGGTACGGGCTAATGCTAACATTCTAAAGTAACCGTCTTGGGAAAGAATATTGAAAGTATTCAGATATATATACCATGATGTTATTCATCATTAAGATTACTTAATAGTTGATTAAATATAAAGAATAGGGTTTACCTGCACTGTAGAAGAAAGCTGAGGTTCGGGAGGTTTAGCGGAGTCTCTAGCGGTGACTATCAAATTGTACAATGGTAGCGTCTCCCTATCTAAATGCTTTGCTGTGTAAATAGTTCCATTGTCAGCAATAGCAAAGTCCTGGTTTTCATCGCCTGATGTGATGCTGTAGTGTAACTTGCCGTTTAGACCTGGAAAATTATCAATAAATACATATGCATTTTTATTACTTTGTGATATATTTGACTCTTGAGATGTCTGTTCAGTTCTTACCAATCAAGCCCATTGAGTAAGCATTACAGAAGTGATATTGTATCGTAGATATAAATTTTAAGTATACATTGTGCATTTATTTTAGTAGATAGATAGATAGAACAGAAACAAAACATTTACAATCACTTCACAGAGTATAACATAAAAGCACATAGAACATTCATTATTAATTTTATACACATTTATATAAAACACATACTGTGAGAAAAACAAATACTGTAAGTAGTAATATGTCGTATTTCAAGTCAAAATAATGAATTACAATTTAGTTACCTGAATCCATATCAGTCGCGCTAATTGTAACAACAGACGATCCGATGATTACATCTTCTAAGATTTCGTTCGAGAAGCTCATCGGGTCGAAGACGGGAGCGTTATCATTGAGATCGATGATGTTCACGTACACGGTCACTGTACCCGAAAGGGAAGGGTGCCCACTGTCTTGCGCTTGAGCCACCAAAATATAATGTTGGGTCTGAAATTGATTACAAATTTTGTTTCGCATAACATCATCTATTTTTATAATATTCGCTAATGCAAGCGTTTCATAAATTATAAACATCATCTCGACACTAAAACACAAAATTACATTACTTTAAGTTGTACGAGACTGTAGCATTTTACGAAGGGAGCATGCAGGCATTTAGATTTTTCCATATAATAGGACACTCAAGCTTCCCAGCTATGACAAGCTCCCTCATTCGCGGTTCGTGGAGCGAGATGCCGATTTAAAAAACAAGCAGTGGACGCGGAATCCGGCTCGAGTATGTTTTGCAGACGGCCGCTTTGTCAGACATTGTTCGAGCCTTAATTTCGATGGCGGATCGAGCGGACAAATACCGAATATGATGCGCGACGCGAAAAAACTGTACCGGGATGAAATTAGCAGCTCTCTAGCGGGGTACGCAGAATTGGCGGGCGGTCGAGAGAACGAATGTACAGCGAATTGTTTTTACTAATTATCAAGATCGGCCGACTTGATGAGGCGGTGGCAACGCGGGCTCGGGAGCATCTTGGCGACTACGCCCTTACGGCCCATGGGACACTCGTGTCCGAACAGGACTGAGGTAGCAAAAAATATTTGTTTAAACAATAATCCCTTTTTGCTCTCGATAAAATTGTAGATTCGAATTGATTATTGATGAATACAAGGCAGTTACCATAGGTGATTGGCACATAAGAGAACATTGTATATAGTGGATTTGCACGTTCATTAAAAATTAAAATTTTAATAGGGCAGCTGCAAGAGGTTAATTGTATATGAGGGTAAGATATGGAGCTCTGTACAGTCAGCCACAGGTTCAATGGTGATCACAAGTGCCTTGCTTAAAAACCCGCTCAGGGGCAACATCGTCCTTGGTTTCTGAATTGCACATCTTACCTACAACATGCAATATTTTACACGGTCAGTAATAAATTTTATTTATCCTTATCTTATTTTTAAGCCCAAAAGGCATCCAGGTAAGTGACTCGAATTATGTTTTATAGGAGCGGTAATTGTGATGTTGTCCTTAGTTTCTTTTGTGAAATTAACATAATTTTCACAGGATACAAGTATGAATCTTACAATTTTTATGTCCTATATGTAAAGTTCAATGTTGTTTTAACGCGTAGCCCATGCCGGATGAGCTTTAACGAGTGATGTATGAGTCGTTTCGACGGTAATTGTTCTTTAATGCACCGCTTAACTTTAAAATTTTTCATAATATTATTCATAATTTCGAATTGAAATGTTTTATGGATCCTTATCTATAACTCAATGGCACATAACGCTTATAAAGTATGCATTCGTATTCTTTTCATTAATTTAATATAAAACAAACTGTGTTGTTAAACTATTTAAAGTATACGATAAGACTTCATATTAACTGTGGACTTTTAGTCCCAAATGAAGATCACATGATTCCTAACACTCATTGCAATGAATTGACGAACAATATCAAAAGATATTTAACGAGATCTTTGTCTCTCGGACTACCTAAGAGTGTAACGCCATGTTACTAGCTGTGTTGGTCAATGACCGGCCGTCTTTAGATCTATGTTAAGATAATTCTTTCAACCGCAATGTATGGCCCGAAGCACTCGGAGGCAGTGCGAAGTGGACGCCGACTCTAAAAATAACATTCACTTGTCTGCAGCCGACGGACCAAAATCATATTTTGCACTAGCCACAGGCTACAAGCTCCATTGCAGACATAATGAAAATTAAAACGGATTAATGCTACATCTACATGAAACCTCAAGTACGATACAGGGTACGCTTAACGCAGACGCCACGATTGTGCCCAACAACTTGTACCTGTAAAACCTAATGCGATCGTAAAACTTTCGAGCAAGATTAAATAATATACGTGAATGTCTACTTTACAAGCAGATAATCCACTTGTATTAATTAAGTGCTGCTATTATTGCTGGGTCGTTTCCAGGTTAATAGTGCCTTATTATCAGTATAGTATATTCAAAATTACTGCAAATTAGGAACCGTGAAGGGTAAATGGCAAATAAATTTTCTTTATAGCACGACTATACCTCCGATTGGAGATTTTAAATGCCGCTTTTAAAAATAGAATCAACATTATCAGAGGCACCATTGTTTTGTACATTTGCATGTTCACCATTTGCCATTCAAGATAGCATCTGAGGTGAGACGTCTGTTAATTACAAGTAGAATTACCAACAAAAAAACAGGCTCGTCTACACACGCGATACGGTTATTTATTGCCTGCGAATAATCGAAAGTTGGACTGGAGTCAATCAGGCAATCGGCGCATGCAAGGGCAGATATTCATGTACTATTTTTTTGCAAATGAGATGTTTAAATAGTCCTTTTTACTACACTAAGTACCTGTACGCCAAGACCGAAAACCCGAATCGATTTTTAATCAGTCTGAAAAAAAAATACGATAATTCCTACATCTACTTTAAAGCGCATGTCGACGCTTCATCACTTGAGCGCAGTGGGAGTTGAGCCTTCAGATTTAAATCCAACTCTATGCCGCTTACGATAAGAACGGTCCAAAGTACAAGGTATCAAGCATGAAGTGCTCTTGACTGTACAAGTCCCCTTGTGAAAGACAAGACAATGAAGTCAATGTCATCAAAGACCACAAGCTAAAACCAAAATTCATTGTAACTTTGAAATTATTCCATTGGCATCCGTTTTTTGATACTGTTTAACGTATCATCTTGTATATAAGAACTGTTAGCTCGTTTACGCACTGCATCCGATTCTCCGATCCGTATTCGTTCACAATCGGAGACTATACAAATCTAGTCTACTCTCGATCTCCGTCCGACATCCGTCCGAAACAATTACTGTCAAATAAGTAATATTCGACAAAATTAAAAGACAAGTATGCAGTATGAAGCTTAATTCGCATCACGCGTCTTTTCATTTGGTCAAGTATTGCTTGTTTACTGCCAAACAAGCAATACTTGACTTGAATGTTTCGGACGGATGTCGGACGGAGATCGAGAGTAGACCCCCTGATACGAATCGGACGTAGCGCACAAACGCGCGTACCCTTCAAAACCGGAACGCCGTAAAGGACACATTACCGATAGGCGGCAAAAATAGGTAAGGTGGCAGTACTTCCCAGTACTTTGCCATGCTATACTGCTACTAAAAAAACTGGCAAAGCTTACCTCTTCATAGTCCAGTCGAGCCGTTAGGGTAAACACCCCTGTTTGTGGATTTAGTGAGAACACATCGTTGGCCCAGTCCGAGATGACCGTATACGTAAGCTGAGCATTAGTTTCCGAATCTAAATCTATCGCCGATACAGCACCGACTACGGAGCCTCTAGCTGCATTTTCTGGTATATCAAAAGAATACGCAGTCTCTTTGAACACCGGTGGATTGTCGTTTGTGTCGGTCACCTGAAACAATGTAAACATTTAAAGTTTTCCGTTACGTCAAGAAATCATTTCAAACTAGTTTCAAACATTTAAGTAATGTAACAATTGACATGTCATAAAAGTTCGTCATAAGATACCTTTGCCTTCATAAAGAACCTGCTAGTATATATTAAACAAAATCGGAAGCTACATGCAGTGTACAAGTAATATAGTGACAGATGGAAAACTGGTATAGTCAGGGTAGAGCAAATAATTTAATTTGCAAAAAATACATTTAATACCTGTAGAATTTTACAACAAAAAATGTTATGGGAGGGAGAGGAAAATCGTCCTATTTTTTTCTAAAAACATCATTATCATTGCAATATTCAGTTTATTGTACATCACGCCATTTACCACCATGATATTCAATTATTTTTGTGAAATTACTCCACTAGTTTGCTATAATTATTAATACAAAGATTGGACACAACAAAAACTTCTTTCGATCCGACTGGACTCGAACCAGCGACCTCGCTATATCGTGGCCGAGTCACTAAACTAAATCGAAAACCGCTGCTTCGTACCGGTATACGAACTCATTTAAAACTAGCTTTTGTTACGGGTATGGTAATGAAGCATAAAAACGTAACATAACACTAAGTTCTACTCATTGAAAATATTATATTCGACTAAGCTTATATATTTTTAAGGTTACAATTACAAAAAGGTCAACATCATTACCAGGTGACCTTCGCTAGCCGATCAGGCACTTTGGGAAAACTTTAGTAAGTATGTACTAAAGCTCTGTGTTTACAACGCCGCCGCCGCTGATCGTAGAGATAACTTAGAAGCATTTTAAACTGCTCATATTCGCGATTTCCACATAACGTATCTAGGTGCAAAAACACAAATGTTTTTATACTTAATAGAATTAGTTTAATTAACAAGGCAAGCGTGGACGAGTTATGTCGCTGTTGCCTCGTATGGTACCTGTCTGCACTACTTTTTCCAATGCACTTCAGAAACGTGATGACAAAGTATTATGTATGTGTACGTAGCTGTATATTTTTAAACAGGTTGTTAATGGTATATTTAGTACCTACCTAAATTTTAAACGGTAAACAAGTTTTAAGATGACTATAAAACATTTTGTTTAGAATAGAAATGTTTTTGATTAAAAATTGACTGTTGATATACTAATAATAACTAAAAGTACAAAGTACAAAAATAACAAATATTTACATAGCATTAATAAATAAAAAAAGGTAAAAATGTAGATAAAGAAGTACAAATTTTAGAAACAGTCGATACCCTAAGATATCTGACACTCTTGCTGACATTTTGGTTCCGAGAGCCTTTTTTATGATACCAAGTGTCGAAGGTGAAGAACTTTTTTTTTATATAATATTAAGTGACGGGACGAACAAGTTGTGAGCCTGATGGTAAGTTATACGCCTGTTCATAACAGTTGCAGTGCCACTCAGAGCTTTAAATTGCAAAGATTGGGCCGTCACCCTGAGACATAAGTTGATAAGTCCCGTGTGCTTTTACTTTCACCAGCACACTTACTCTTCCAAACCGGAACGCAGTACTTAATGCTCACATTATTGCTTGGCGGCAGAAATAGGTAAGGTGGCAGTACTTCCCTGGAGGAACTCTTTTACAAGGAGCTCCACTGCTATATTGAACACAGCCATTTACTCAAATAATCCGAAAACATTTAACAGAAAAGATTAAATGAATTCATTTATTCCACTAAATTCATCTATAAGTTCAATCTTCCAGCTTTTTTAGCTGAAGTATGTAATGTAATTAAACATCAAATTGAAAAAAGTTAAAAAGTTACTTAAAAAGTTTCTTAAAACTTTATTCACTAAGCACACAATAAGGAAATCATATCAACATGAATATTAGGAATCACAAAGGTAAAGTTCGTTTAACACCTTTTTCACACTAATCTACTCAAAACGAATTAATCGGTTAGAGGCTTAAGTATCTTACGTAGGGCATCGACTGTAGAATAATAGAATAAATTTAAAGGAATAAAACTTGTCTTATTAATGAGTAAGATACTGCCTTAAAATGTAAAGACTTCAAAATTGTACCTAATGATTACACTAACCTCGTGCTCGACATTACTGTAGACAAAATGTGGTTGAACATGTTTATATTACAATTATCGATACAAAGATCGAACAAAAACAAAGAAAAATTCCCTTGATCCGACTGGACTGTAGCCATGTTTAGGCAACAGATGTTAGTTCGTATCCAGTTGGATCATTAATATTAACAAACTAGTGGATACTCAATAACTTTTTCATACTAAAATGCAACCTCTAAAGTTTGTGGAATTACACCTATTTGCCAAGTTTTATTGAAATATGTTAATGGAAAACGGGTGAAATCTAATAAACCAGATTCATTCCCTGATTTGCCCCCTAGAGGTGGAAAATTTTCTTGTATTTTGAATGGGATCACACGGAGGTATCCCCTTTGTAACAAAAAAATAATTATCGAAATTGGGTCACTAATGTAGGAGTAATAAATAATACACAAAAATACAGTCGAATTGAGAAGACCATCCTTTTTCTGAAGTCGGTTATAGAAATTAATATCATGGTAATAAAAATATCATGATATTCAATAAAAACAAGATAGGTTTATTATAAATATATACCTATATCAGTAGAATAATTTTACAATACAATATACATTAAAGTACGTTCGACATGTGTACCATTGAAGACATATGAAATGTATAAAAAAAGGTCAAGGACAACTGAGTAAAGAGGGAGACAGGTGAAGGCGATCGTATCGGACCGTCATCCGATCGCCTGATTGATCGGATACGCAGTTTTATAAAACTCTTTGAAAATGCGGCATGTCCTCAAACCAGTCCAGTTAGATTGTCTTTAGAAGAGACCCGTGCATACCAGTGGGTAATATATGCAAAGCTAATGATGATTAAATATTTATACAATATATAAATAATAATAATAAAGAGCTTTATTTATCTGCACTAAAATAACAACAATTTAGCCTCAAATAACATCATCCTAAATTACGTATTTAGACAATAAGGTACAAGTCTCAGCTTGAGCTGTTTTTCAGACTTTGACTTTTTGGTGAAACTCACTACATTTTATGATAATAGTTCCAATAAAATTATAACTAAAATAAAATATAAAATTGTAATTAAAAGGGATGAGGAATGTCTTTTCAATTCAAAAAAATTCTGCCATTTTTTTATTTATAATTAAGTTTATTGATACCACGGTGTTTTACTACCATGATATTGAATTATTTTTTATGAAATTACTCCACTAGTTTGTTACAATTATTAATATAAAGATCAAACAATAAGAAACATTATTTCGATCCGGCTGGATTCGAACCAGCTTCTTCCAGCAATCGATGCTAGACGCTCCGCCAACTAAGCCACGGAATGAACCAGGAGACTTTACGAATTTTATTTATGTGATCTTTGTTTTTGATTTTTAACGACTTTTTTGCCGTAGCGCCATTACGATGCTTTACTTTCTCAAACTCGTATCTTATAAAGAGTGGTTATTCAGGAGATGGCGAAACTTTTTATTTATTATAAATTTCTTGTCAAGGGTGTTAATTTGAACGCATTACTTTAAGAATAGGTAAAGGCCAGTGTGTGAATATGAAGGAAATGTGGTGTGAAATCAACCTGCAACATTTGTACACACAATCCATTTTAGCATTTCAGTAACTTTGTGCTTTAAGACACGAGTTAGAGAAAATAAGGCGACGATTTGTAATATATATGTATCATTTTTTTTAACTCTTTTACAAGGTTATTTGTGAAATACTGACTACCTCGCAGCGCTATATACTAACATCATAAACAACAACTTTAGTTCCATGACTTTTAATAATTCATAGGATTTTACTTAAGCACTAAATCAAAAATATTTAGAAAGATCGCTCTAAACTATAATAATTCTTTGGGATACGAAGCAAATGCAAGAGCGAGGGTGGACGTCTGCACATTCGAACATCCTACCTTACTACCAAATACAGATTTAAAAAGGGTCAGATAGTACAAAAAAGTTTAACCAGGGCTTGGTTATTTGCACAGGCTGGTTTCCGTACATTTAATGTTGGGTGGTTTCAATCTATTTTGTCGGAGCCAACATATAGTGCCGCGGAGATTTTGTATACATGTTTGGTTAGGTAGTATTTTGATTTATCTGTCTGGATTTTACCAAGTGTTTTCTTGAGGTATTGTTTTTCTAATGGGGTTGACATGTTCAACAACAATCAAAGCACCTAAATAAATAAAGAGTAAAAAAAGTTATTTTTAGTAAATTTGTTACGGTCTCCAAAAGTTATGGAACAAAGATTGTTGTTTATGATGTTAGTAATCTAGTTCTGGAAGGTTATTAGTAGTTTAAAAATAATCCTGTACATTTAGGGGCTTTGATCGTTATTGATCATGTCAGCTGACATCAGCTGACCATCAGAAAAACAATACATCAAACAAACCATTATTGGAATCAAATATGAAAACAAAAAATCTTCGCGGCACTACTTGTTGGCTCGGACGAAACGGAACCACCCAACGTTAAATGCACCAAAACCAACCTGTGCAAATAATCGTACCCTGATAGTTAGGTCCGTCGGAACACACTCCATGAGCAAATGATGTTCATTCTAAGGAATTCCACATATATTCGCAATTTGGATAATAAGCCCTCCTCATCAATCACAAAGTTTGCTTAATAAAACGTGTCCTTTTTTCTGATACCAAGTGACGGGACGATCAAGTCGTGGGCCTGGTGGTGAGCGACACCTCACACTATCCATAACACCATAACAGTTGCAGTGCCATTTTCAGTTTTAAATCATAAAGATCTGAGGGGCACTGCCACTGCGCCCGTCAAACTGAGACATAAGTTGACAAGTCGCATGTGCCTGTTTATTGTGCCATTTCACCAGCACACTTACCCTTCAAAACCAGAACGAACCAGACTTCAAAACCATAATGACCACATTACTGCATGGACGACAGAAATAGTGAAGCTGTCAGTTGTCAATTCTTCCCTGGACGAACTCTTTCACAAGGAGCTCTACTGCTATTAAACTAAAGACTAACTAAAGTGTCCGGATCGAAGCATATACACAGCTGAAAATATTTTGACAATTTGATATCTTTCGATGTAACAGTTTTGATAAAACAGTGTAGTAACACGTCATACTATCATATGAAAATAAATATCCAGACGTTTAATAATAATAACGTACATACCCATAGCCCCGCACTAGGAAAACCCTGTATCGCAGGTGTCATGGACACACACATAGACAACCAAAAATTACACCCAAACTAACGAGGTAAATAAATGTAGACCATACAGATATTTCTCCCGACCCCGGAATCGAACCCGGGATCTCCGCGTGGCAGTCCAGTATGGTAACTGTTCGGCCACGGAGGCAGTAAGTTAACTGACGCGTGCTCATAAAACATAACACACTAACCTGTACTACAACAGTCACATCAGTGTATTGCATCCCATCGTCAGCTCGAATGATCACCCGATACTCAGCAGTTGTTTCTCTATCCAACGGGTCTTTGAGAGACAAAGTCCCAGTACGAGAATCCAGGGAAAAGGGAGTAGGTTCCTCAGATTGAATACTATAAGTAATCGTGCCGATAGTATCCGGGTCTTCAGCACTGACCGTGGCAATAACCTGTCCAGGCGCTAGGTCTTCCGAAGCGTGGTATGCTTGAGGAATGTTTTTGAACTCCGGAGGACTGTCATTCTTGTCCAGAATAATCACCTCCACCTGCAATAAAAAAAGTTAATTAGAAAATGAACATCGAATTACAAATACTCGCTTTCCCTCTAGTTGTCTCTAGATGATGGGTTTTCATTGTAAACTAGTTGACTATGGTTATGGAACTTATATAGCTGACTATCTAAGAATTTTAAAATTAATTCAACAAAAGTTCAATTCTTGTTAAAATATAATTCAAATTCACTTATTTTCTTTAAACAGGGTAGGGTACATTATAAATGTTGATGGTAAAATTTAATTAGAACTTAATCCCATTCAGCCTTAAATAAAAGCATGCAAAATAAGGATAAACCATTTAACAATACAATACTAAGTTAAGTGTGTGCCATAATGGTCATGATTTAATTGATTTAGATAAAGAAATAATTGTAATGGAATTTATGCATTAATGTCTTTAAATTTTCATAAAATCGTTAACTGAGTAGAACAAATGATCTAAAAGTCATTTGCGCAATTCTTTTTCAAAACTAATCAATGGAAGGGGCTTAATACGTAATGACGAATCATAAAGTTATTAGTGTAACAAATTTGAATTTTTCCAACCGAAACAATGGTGTTTGGCGTAGACAATATATTCTCAAGTCCGTAATAAAGCTTTTAACAAGCGTCGACTGCTGCAAAACCGTCATTGGAAAGACGTGGTCATGTTTTATTTATGAGGTTGGCACAAAATCGTCCACTTTAACACACTACAAGAACATGGACCAAATTAATAATTCTAAAAATGCAGCCAGCGAGTGGCTCCTTCGACAAATGTGTGACTGAACGTCTCACGGCATGACAAAATGCCTGCGGCCCTCCTATTTGATGCACCCCAGACGAACATTTCTTAAAATGTAAAATAAAGTGACTGATCTTGATCGTATGAATTAACTGCACGCAATTTATAAATAAATGTTTTCGTAAAACGGGCTTTATGTACTTAAATGTATGGTTCATTAAAATTACTAAGATGCGTTGTTTAGTTGTATTTTGAATTATAATGTCATTATCACTTTAAATCAGTAAGGGACTTAAGATAAGAAGAGCTACTTTTTACATGCTGCGTCTTATACATCTGAAATTCATAACAACTGGATTAAATGTATCGTACTTAGCAATCTTACAAACCCGCCTTATAATGACTGCATTTTTTACCTGTATCTTACATTGCCCACGGGTCCATATGAATTGCATAATTTAATGATTTCGGATGTCCTAAAGGAACGAATGAATTGAAAGAAATTCAGTAATAATCAGAGTCGTGTACCGCTTTACATTTGACTTTCCTATCTCTTGAACTAACTTGCATTCATCAATATGATTAATGAAGCAGTTTTTTGTACGTAATACGAGTTGTTTTTTCATGTAGCGTCCTTTTTTTATGGCCTGGTATTGATAGGTTTTTGTTTGTATTTTTTGCGAAGATTGATTGCGGTCGAATTATAGTTACTTGATTTTTAATAAAGAAATTGTAATACTTATGGCATTATGTGATTTATGGCATGCATAAATATGTATAAGCACAATAGAGACGTGTTTTTCGTTGAGATGGCTATGTCAATGTTTTTTACCGACCGGTCTTAACGAAGATACACTGTTTAATCCTCGCTTGATGCGATGTATTAGATAAGATTTATGAAGTCAGAGGCGAGCTTTACAAACGTAGACGGTGGACGTTTATAAAAAGCCGTCCGAAACGAACTCGACAAGTCAACAAAAGGACAGCCGGTTAAAAGACTAAACGCAGCAGCGAGCGTTTCGTTATCCGCACTCCGGAGCACGAAGAATTCGGGCTACAATAATCGGAGCCGTCACAGATAAGAGGCCGATTGTGAAGAGTTCTCTGCCGTCGGAGAGGTTGCGCATTTGTTATGATGACTCAATCTTTTCTTTGTATCCGGACAAGGGTGCTCGAGCTGTGCGCTATAAGTAGAATACATCGAGATGCTACAATACTTTACGAAGTGCAGCAGCAATTAACGGCGATTGTATGTTATTACCTCCACATAAAAACAAATTTAAACGTGTTAATAAAATTTATTGTTCACAAAAAGAGAAAGCATGAGAAAGTTTGGAATCGATTGTAAACATTTGTTCGTCACTGTACAAATTCCCAGTAGACTTATAAACGTTTCAATAGCGATCGTATAACACGGAAATGACGAAGTTGGTACTCCTAATTGTCCCATCGTAACTTTGATTGTTATGCTAACCGGTTGTACAAACTTGGGCCGTGTTTATCAAAGTCGTTCTCATGCTTCATTAATTATCTGCATATTCCGTAACTCGAGTTGCGTGCATGATATCGTACGAGTACCTATTTGTTATTATTTGCATTGCATCTTTAGTTTCCGCCGAACCGTTGCCTTGTAACAGTCAGCTTATTACTAACACCGCGATCGATGTATCCGATCGCAATGCCTACTACACAAAAAAGAATAAAATTTATTATTAACAAAAAGCACGCGCATGGCTGGCCGGTGCGCTAGAGACCCCCTAGAGTTCATGTTTGATGTAATCGATTAAGGAAAGAGAAATGACAGTGCGTCGGTTTAGTGGGATCTTCGATTAGTCAACTTTCGATAATTGATTGAGCTCCGCTACTAGATTAATAAGAAATATTCTGTTTCCTTGTAAGTTGTGATTTGAATAATGATACCTTATCTAACCCACATCGTACGTGTGTCCAAAAAAATTCGTCAACATCAAAGCTTAATGTCAGCTTGATCGGTTAAGCGTATTAATTAACTAACTACTAATTTAGCCGATTTAAATATCCAGTTCTTACGTAATGCTAGATTATTTAAAGCAAAATAACGACCGTACTATATACCTATTTTACTGTCTTATAAACTTAGGTACTATATCTATGTGCCACAGTCTTGTAAAATAATAGAAAAAAGTTTGTCCAGAGAAGTACAACCTTACCTATTTTTGCCGCCAAGCACTAATATGAGCATTACTGCGTTCCGGTTTGAAAGGGTAAGAGTTACTGGTGAAATTACAGGCACATGGGACTTGTCAACTTATGTCTCAGGGTGACGGGCGCAGTGGCAGTGCCCCAAGATCTTTGCGATTTAAAGCTCTGGGTCGGGACTGCAACTGTTATGGATAGGCGTGTCTCTTGCTCAGGGTGACGGGCGCAGTGGCAGTGCCCCAAGATCTTTGCGATTTAAAGCTCTGGGTCGGGACTGCAACTGTTATGGATAGGCGTGTCTCTTGCCACCAGGCGCACGACTTGGTATTATAAAAAAAAACCATAGCACTGAACTTTCGTCTACTATACTACCTTGCCTAATAAGTTTACGCAGAAATACAAAGGAAAAACGCTGCATGTAATTTCTAGCATTTAAATTAACCCTTTTTCTAATGGTTACGCTGACAATGTATGTTAATAATAATAATAATAATGTGACAGACAACCACACCAATTACCTGGTCTCAAAGTAGGGAATTCCCTGTAGTACGAGCATCGGATTTCACTACCCGGAATATCCAAACCAATTCAGAAAAGTTTATTCCCCAAATTTATCCTACCGTGAATCGATCCCGGGATCTCCTCGTCCAGCGTTAAAAGTGCCGTCGGCCACCGAGGTTGTCCATGTTGTTTCGCTGTTGCGTTTCTTTAATAACTAATAAGATTATTGTAAATGATCTCCGCTTTGCAACATCAAAATGATAGTTAATCGCTACAAGTAATCAAGGATGCGACACAGTGATAAAAATCAAAGGTGCAGTACCCAGTAGCCTCGGCTGGTTAGTGGTTCCACGTGACGCATGGCACAGGAACCTGACCACCTTGTCCTACCACGCGATTAACATGGGATACGCATCAAACTGCCATCACATTTAATAATCAACTACTCACAAGAGTTTAAACGCAAGTCATAAGGCTCATTATGTAAGTACCATAACTTTAGATGAAACATCAGGTTTCTTAAACATTTCTATGATTTACGTAAAATATCTGCATATGTTATAAAATAAAATTAAAATTTTTAATTTCCTTTCAAAATGTTAAATATTATACTAAAATAAAATTGATATCGTATTTGGAGTTATACACATATATGGTAGAAATGACAAAATGTACAGTGCTATACGTCTTTAAACATGGCAATAATTTATTGTTTTTCAGTTTAAACTAAGTATAACCTTAAACTGTGCAATAAAACCAAGTTACAATACGACATGTAAATCAGCATGTTTTCTTCTAATGTCACGTTGGGTTCTTAGTTTTCATAGTTATCGTCTCAACACAATGCAACATCCCCAGCAAATTACATTTGTAATGCGTAACCAGTCACATATGTATATATTTTCAACTTTCAAAGTATTTGCTTGAGGTGTTTCGATGTGTCTCTTAGACAGGGACTCGTTTATCAGTCATTTAAGTATCGGCGCGGGCGTAGCGACGGCGGGCGTCATCCAGAGACGTTCGCGAGGTCACTCGACACCGCTAATTCTAATGATTTATCCCCCCGATAACTTACACAGATTATTGAAATGAAAATTATGTGTTGCTCACGATAAATGGCACCCATTTGTCTAGTTCAATTTCTGTAAAACTACACCTACTTTGCAACATAGTTAACTTCTCACTTATTATATTTTCTGTCTACACTTTATATTTATGACTTCACTTACTTATCTTGTGCCGTTCAAATTTACTCGGCCCCAAAGCCTCTCTCTGAAAAATGACCACACAATATTGTCGTTTTTGAAACAGTGTAATTTCACGAACATCAATCACTCAAGTCATTTACCTCAAAATTTTTGACGTAGTTCTTTTTATTGCCTCATTTCATTTTTTAATGTAGTTTTGACTTGCGCCTTCATACAATGGAACGTCATTTTAGCAACTTGATTAGGAACATCTCTTTCATCAACCATACAGTGCAAATAACTTCTTATAGTTTGGTTCCATTTTATTATAGTTATAAACTCAATAACAAGTCTACGATTATAGTACCGTTGTCTGCAAATAAATCAATACACGTATCGAA